CCGGCCGGACGAACCGCCGAAGTGTTGGTGGAAACTGTTGCCCCGCTGCTGCTGCACCCGCCCGCCCCTCGCCCCCTCGAGTGCGACCTCAAGACACCGCGCTGGCGCTCCTCGACGCGCCGCCGGTCCGGCTGGCCGGCATGGAGGAGCAGGAGGAACGGTGAGTCCGCGACCACCCCGTCAACGCTCCAGAGTGACCCTGCGGCAGCGGCGCGCTCCAGCTGCTGCACTTGCTCCGGTTTTGAGTTGGATGGTGACCCCGATCCGCTGCTCCCGGTCTGCCTGCGGCAGCCTGGCCTGGCCGGGCCGCGAGCACCGTTCGATGTTCCGGACGGACTATTGGTGTGATCGATCATCCGTGTGCTGCTCGGCCGGCCCGGCTCGGCCCCGCTCGGCTCGCCTCGCCTCATTACGAGCGTGGCTCCGCCCGGCCCGTCCGACCGGAGCGCATTGTGAGTGAGCCGAGCGTGGGGATTTTAAAGTCCGAAAATTTTCCTGGAAACTTGGAAACTTTTCCAAGAAAAAGAAATTGGAAAAAATATTTCCAGAAAAATTGGAACAGAAGTAGAACTGTTTAAAAGAAACTAAGAGATAAAAAGAAATTCCTCTCTCAAACATGTTCTTTCGGAAAGTAAAACTTCCGCAGCGAGCGCAGCTGCCGCGGCTGCTGTGGACTGCTGATGGCGGCAGCTACAATGAAAGCGAAATGTTTTGGCCGCTGCCCGCTGCCGAGCCGCTTTGGCCGCGGAAGTTCCCGAGGAGTGTGGCGGCTCCGCGGCTACAACAGGTGTCCGTGCAGCATCCCAAGTCATGCGATGACCGTCTCGTGTGTTCTTCTTTGGCAGTGCGTCGTGTGGTCGCCGCTCGCCTCCTCCTGGCCTTGGCCCCACCGCGCCGCGCCGCGCCACGCCGCCTGCTCCGGTTACTTTGCTGCTGGTCATGGTCATGAGGGTGACCCGGTTGCTCCATGTTGTTGCAGGTACGAGCGGCTGCTGCGTCGGGCCCGGACCGAGGACCTGTCCGAGGTGTCCGGCATCGGCTGCCTGTACCAGAGCGGCGTGGACCGCTTCGGCCGGCCGGTCATCGTCTTCGTCGGCAAATGGTTCCGCTTCAAAGAGATCGACCTGGACAAGGTGAGTAGTATGGTAGAGACGGGGGAGCGGACTGTAGACAAATAGGCGACCGCTGGCCGGATCCATCTGGATTAGTCCAGAATTAGCTGGCAGCCGTTGAGCTTGCCGTTTAACGCATTCAGCGGTGGCCGGTGGCCGAGCAGTCGTAGCCGAGCTACGGCGCCAGCTTTGGCCCGCGGGTATCATTTGAATGAGAAAACAAGAAACAAGTATCATCATTCATGCATTTGTCTGCCGTGTCTGACGGGGAAGACCTTTCTGGGCGGCTGCTGTCGTGACGGAGCAGGTAGGCGACGCCACCGCCCCTGTGCGTGTCGTATGGGGGCGTGCGCTGGGCGGTATGGGTGCTGCCTGCGGGTGACGGGTCTTATTTTTAGCGAACTTCTACGTAAGTTTTCTATTTCCGATCCAATCGAAGCAGGGGGGTGGGTATTTCTGGGGGGCTTGCATCAAGGTCCCGAACGATGACGACGCCTCGCCTCCGCGGGTCGTTGCCGGTGACGTACACGGGGGCTCAGGGGGGAGGATCTCATTCAGGACGCGCGCGCGAACTTCTTTTGATAAGGCAGTGTGTGACGTGTTGCTGTCTGTCTGATTCACGACACCGCGATGACGTCATGCAGGGCTCCTTCTGGGGGGGTTGCGTGCCCCGGCGGGTGGGCGACATGGCGCCCGACCCGACAGTGATGCGGTTGCAACGTCCGCGACTCCCATATCCCCCGACCACGCGCACTGGTTCACACAGCCGAGCATGATGTGTAGCCGTACATAATTGTTGCTCACCATCAGGGATCTTGAGTTTTCCGTTAAAGTTTTGGGGACAATTTTTAAGAATTTATTTTATTTTTGTTTGACATATTGATTTTTTTTACATTGTTCCTGCGAAAGTTTCAAAATTTCCCTCATTTTCGAACTTTAAAATCGCTCTAGTCAAGTCAAGTCAGGCGCCTGCACTTCCCCGGCTATGCTGTGCTGCAATGCGGGTGGGCGGACGGGTTGCCTATCCGCACCTCGTACGGCGCCATGGGCAGGGATCTACATATCGGGTGTACCTGGAAATACGCAGCAGTGTTGCGGGTTTGCCTTCTCTTTACACCCGTAAGGGGCCATGGCCCTTGCAGCCATATTGAGTATGCATGCAATCTCGCAAAACTGCTGCGTATTCACAGTAACACCCGCTACACAACAGCGTGGTGAAGTTTACCACCTACCAAATGCCCTGTAGCAATTATTCAACAGAACTGGTGGCACTTATTTCACTGTTAAAAATTTCTTGGGAATTCCCGAAGATTCACTTTCTACCACTATAAGAAATTCCCAGAGGACTCCGTTCTTAGTTTTTTGTGTACTAAAACAGATTTTAAAAGGTGAAAGTTTTCATTCGTCTACATGTTACGAAGCTAAACTCGACACGTGAAATCTACAAAGTTCTTTGGGAAATCCCAAA